AAAGAAAGTAAAAAGTCGCTTACATAAAGCCAAGAGCTATTTACACACAACTAATGTAGTTTTGAAAAAAAGTTTTCTTTGTTTTTTCTTTTCTTCCTTTTAAAGATGTGGGGTACAATTCAGGGTTAGGTGTGCAAATGCTCGTTATGCAGGCACCCTTGCTGATGAGGTGTGCCCCCCCCCCGGCAGTTTCCCACTACTGCCAATCCCTTTCTTATAGTGTTATGATAGTTGTTCAAGGTCAGCTTATGAGTGAGAACATATGGTACTCAGTTCTTTGTTCCTGTGATAGATCACTGAGTATGACAGACTCTAAATCCATCCAAAACGCTCCAAAGTCCATATGTTTGTCCTTCTTTATGGCTACATAATATTCCATTGTGTATATGTATCACATTTTTGTCATCCAGTCCAGCTTCGATGGGAAGCACGGTTGGTTCCATGTTTTTGCTATTGTGAATAGAGGTGCAACAAACATGCTTGTGCAGGTGTCTGTTTTGTAGAATGATTTGAGTTCCTCCAGGTCATTTCCAATAGGGGGATTGCTGGGTCATATGGAAAAAAAAGTTTTCTAAAACATCTTTATTCATTTTTGTCACAACATCTAATTTTGAGGGTAGTATTATAAAGTGATAAATGAAAGTGTTCATTTATGAATGAACATATAATGATTTTTGCACTCTGTTTTGTATAGATTTAAGAATATAATCTATATGGTAAAAATACCATATAGATTTGTATTGTCTTATTATATTAATCAAAAGTTTCACTCCCTCCCTGGCCTTTCGCTCTCAGCAATGGGAGGACGGCAGGGTAGAGGACTGGGCCTGGCTTTCAGACCCTCACACCCTGATGCCTCCCAAGCTCCCACATTCTCCAGGTCAAGGCCAAAGTCGCCTCCCACTGACCAGGGACTCCCTCACTTGGAGGGTGCAGAGTCATCCTGTGCTCGGCGCTTGGAAAAGTCATCCTTCCCAAAGCTACTCACGCTTTCAGCATATTAATATAAAAAGAGACTATGAGGCTGATGGAAGTTTTCTTTTCTTCCTTTAACTGAAGCGTGTCCATTAATTCGTGACGAACCTGCCGGGAGGTGGAACAGAATATTAATCTGAATGCAAACGATTAGCTAGAAATCCAGATTTTCTGTCTAGACGTTATATTGTAAATATTCCCCCGGCAAAATTAATATATGTAATTAGCATGTATCTTCTCATTAAGTTTTATATTTAGCTTTTCAGCTATAACTTAAGCCGATCCCCTATAAGTAAAGAGGAGAAGCGAATGAATGCTTCTCGTACACGTTCTTTTAGTAATTACCTGTATCTTTAGAAACTTTCATTAGCTTTTTAAAAAAATTCAGTGATGATACAAAAGAAGTATTCAGAGCAATAGTAAATGCAAAATGTCTTGTTTTGTTTCCAAATGTCTTGGCTATATCTGTCTTCACATAGAATGAACTGCTATTTCTTTTTAATTTATTTATTTGTTTTGCTTATCTATGTGTGTATGTAAGTTTTTATACCTCCCAATTAGTAAACTTGTATGTGATTTTTACGCATAGTTTTCTGAACAATGACTTTTAAGAAAATGATTTCTTTTACCTATGTTTTTACCACATATTTACTATATATTTACAACTTACCATAACAGAGAATATGTGTTGACACTTGTGTGGCACATTGGATTTTATGAAGGGGGCTGCAGTGGAACAGAATTTAGCTGCCTCCTCTGTTTTTCCAGCTTGCAGGTAACACTCAAGAAGTTCCCTGGATAATACAAAAATGGTAGAGATTCAACATTGTTGAATTTGCTTTCTGCTGCAAATGTCTAACAACCAGGTTATTTGTTCTCTCTCCTAAAATGACTTAAAATTATAGTTGCATAATTTTTGTGTTTCACCAACTTTAGGACAATACCCTGGGGTCCCTCTTTCGGCCACCACCAGGGGCTGTGGCTCTTCCGGAAGGGCCAGCAGAAGCCATGAACGCTTGCTGCTGCAAGCATCAGGAGAGGGGATGACTGGCCTTTTAATTTCTAGGACACTTTAAAATGACACTTCAAAAGAGAGATTTTATCTGCATTTACAATCTTGCAAAGTTCTCCAAATGGCCTCCGGGCTCTGGATTAGACACAAGTGTAGATTCTCTGGGGTGGGCACAATTCAGGTGCCTGGTGTCAGCACTCACCCAGTTGCTGGCCTGTAGCGAGAGTTCCCCAAACAGAGAAAAGCTCCGACTGACCCCCTTTCGGTTCACCCAACGCAGTGTCCATGTGTGCTTGCTGACAGCCTGTCGCCGCGGCTTCTCAGGGTGGCCACTGCCCTGCCCTGTGCTGTCCCCATGGCTATCCCTCCATGGGCCACCTGGCCACCTAGATGGGCGTGTGCATTCCGGCTTTGTTTTACGTTGCTCACATGTCTACTACATTAGCATTTTGCCGAACTAAGATTTTAAAACCATGAGCCAGAATTGGGGCCACAGACGCACACTTCCTTTGCTGTGAGTCTAAGCACATCCTTTTGTTCGGCTGTGACAGCCATATAACCAGGACACAATAAATGTCACCTACAGATTCTTGAGAAACAACCTTTGAACAACACACACAACTTGTGACTACAGAGGAGAAAGCACGTGACTTAGACCCCAGCAGCGTGAAATAATAATCCAGTTGGGAGAGGACGGTCTGGACTCTCGGAGCTGGCCGTGCGGGCTCGCTCAGAGGCCAGGAAGGGCAGGACAAGCCAACTCACAGCATCAGCTCAGCACGCCACTCCTTGTCTTCTTCCTCGGTTTGATTTAACACGTTTACAATTTGGGAGAGGCTGGGGATCAGATGGTGACGACATCCAGGCTTAAGAAACGGTCTCACCATTTGCCAGTAGAGGACTGATGCGTTGTAGACCAGAAAGTAATACCTGCAACGCAAGAAGGGGAAGTCTGCAGAGAAGGTCAAGACCTCAGGCTGAGATGCGAACCCTCGGGGCTCCCTGCCGAAGGGAACCTGCATTCTCTCTGTCTCCAGCAGATGGCAGCAGCCCCGTCTGAGAAGCTTCGGCCTGACCTGCAGGAGCACCAGGATGCAGGGCCAGGGCCGTGTCGGGGGCAGCCTTGCTTTAAACGCGCCTGGCCCCAGCTGCGGTGACCCAGGCACAGCCCCTTGGGTCTGGGCCTTCAGTGAGTCATTCTGCAAACTGATCAGTCTCCACCCTCCCCAGGAAAATGCACCGCTGAGCAAGACCTCCTTTGACTCTAGGGATAGACAAGAAGGAGTGAGGACAGGGGGAATCAGGAAAGGCTTCCTGGGGCCGGGCTCGGGGGCTCAGCCTGTCATCCCAGCACTTGGGAGGCCGAGGCGAGTGGATTGCCTGAGCCCGCGGGTTCGAGGCCTACCCGGGCAACTTGGCGAGACCTCGTCTCTACAATAAATCAAAAATCAGCTGGGCGTGGTAGCGCGCGCCTGTAGTTCCGGTTACTTGGAAGGCTGAGGCGGAAGGATCGCCAGAGCCCAGCAGGTCGAGGCTGCGGTGGCCAGGAGCATGCCACCGCACTCCAGTCTGGGCGACAGAGTGAGACTCCAACTCAAAATAAAAAAGAAAGAAAGAAAGGCTTCCTGGAAGAGGTGGCATCTCTGCTGTGACCTGGAAGATGACCAGGAGTCAGCCAAGAGAGAAGTGGAGGGAAGACAGAGGAGGGGAGGAAGCTTCGGGGAACAAAGCTCCTGTACCCGGCCCGCAGTGTGAGTGGAGGAGGGTGGGCTGGAGCAGTGAACAGAGGCCCCTCTCAGGGCTCAGGGCTTCTCCCACAGGCAGCAGGGCAGGCCGCAGAGTCATCAGACGGACTGAGGTAAGGGGACCCAGCCAGGGTCCCGTTCTCACACTAGGACAGGACTCAGCTGTGTGCCAGTTTTTCCAGCAAAGGAGGGGAAGTGCGAGGTGTCCTGACCAGGTGGGTCACGTCTGCTGGGAGGGGCTCTCAGCTCGGAGGGGTCGTTTCCAGGGGGGTCTGTTG